GATTCTTTGATGAATAAAAAGTTAAAAAGAAGAGCATTTATTCAAAATAGGAATCTTTTCTAACAATATACACTACAGTTCAAAAGTTTGGGCTCAGTAAATTTTTATTGTTTCTTTTTTGAAAGAAATTAAAACTTTTATTCTGCAAGGATGTGTTTAGCAAAGTCAAAAGTTTGAGAACAGTAAGATCAGGAAGATTTTTTTTTTTTTTGAAGAAATTAATACTTTTGTTCGGCAAGGATGCATTAAATAGATCAAAAGTTAGAGTGAAGACTTTTACTGTGAAAAATAAATAAATATTCTTTCTATTCTTCAAAGAATCCTAAGAAAGAATGAAAAGAAAAATCACGGTTTCCATTGAAATATTAAGCTGGTCCTTTCAACTTCTTGTCACCATTGTTAATGATAAGAAATATTTGAATGGTAATGTACATTCCTTTCACCTTTTTTGCCGTTTTATTTTATTTTATTTATTTTTTTGAATATGAAATAAGAAAAATATCTATATTACCTATAATACCTATAACAGCTGAAGCATTCTATCAGTTTGAGTCAATGTGAGATATTTTAACTGCAGTCTTACATATCCTAAGTTACAAAAGCCCAAAATAAACTAAGACTGAAATTATCTACAAAACAAAGTTTAAACAGAGTTTAAACAGAATATAAGCAGTTCAGGTTGAATTAATTACTTAATTTTAATTCTTAGAGTTAGGCTATATAGCCAGAATATTTGAGAAATATTAATTTATTCCTATTTTGGTGTGGTGGGCAGGACACAATCAAAAACAGCATTTCATTTTGTAAATGTCACAGGATGGCTTTGATTAGTTTCTGTATTATTATATTCCTTGTTAGAAAAGATTTCTATTTTAAATAAATGCTGATCTTTTTAACTTTTTATTCATCAAAGAATCCTGAAAAAGTATCGCTGTTTCCAAAAAATATTTGGCAGCACAACTTTTGCCAACATTGATAATTTTAATAATAAATCAGCATATTAGAATGATTTCTTAAGTTTTGTTCGGCAAGGATGCATTAAATAGATCAAAAGTTAGAGTGAAGACTTTTACTGTGAAAAATAAATAAATATTCTTTCTATTCTTCAAAGAATCCTAAGAAAGAATGAAAAGAAAAATCACGGTTTCCATTGAAATATTAAGCTGGTCCTTTCAACTTCTTGTCACCATTGTTAATGATAAGAAATATTTGAATGGTAATGTACATTCCTTTCACCTTTTTTGCCGTTTTATTTTATTTTATTTATTTTTTTGAATATGAAATAAGAAAAATATCTATATTACCTATAATACCTATAACAGCTGAAGCATTCTATCAGTTTGAGTCAATGTGAGATATTTTAACTGCAGTCTTACATATCCTAAGTTACAAAAGCCCAAAATAAACTAAGACTGAAATTATCTACAAAACAAAGTTTAAACAGAGTTTAAACAGAATATAAGCAGTTCAGGTTGAATTAATTACTTAATTTTAATTCTTAGAGTTAGGCTATATAGCCAGAATATTTGAGAAATATTAATTTATTCCTATTTTGGTGTGGTGGGCAGGACACAATCAAAAACAGCATTTCATTTTGTAAATGTCACAGGATGGCTTTGATTAGTTTCTGTATTATTATATTCCAGGAGAGCTCAATAAAGCTCAAGAATCTTATGATGAATAATATATAGTTAATCATTTCCTCTCGTGCCTTGTTTTTGCATTGCAAATCTTGTCATCTTATTTTTTCCAACTCCCTGATATTAAGACCAGGGAGTTGGAAGATATTAAGTGGATTTCCTAAGGCACTAACCTGACATGTTTGAAATTAATGTTTGAAATTAAGTTTCCAGATAGTGATGCCTTCAAAATGCCACAGCCTAAAAAAGATTTCTAAAATGATTAAAGGAGTAGTTCATCCAATAATGAAACTTCTGTCGTTATTTACTCTCCCTCATGATGTTTCAAACCCAAATGAGTTTCTTTCCGCATATGGATTTGGATCGACATGAGGATAAGTAGCAAATGACAGGATTTTCACTTTTTGTTGAACTATAACTTGTGAAAAATGTGAATTAATCAACTGATGCAATCCCTACACACGGTTGTCTTATTTCCAATAACATCAATTGTTTCTCATGTTTGTAAGCTGTCATCATTTGTAATCAGCATCTTCTGTTGGATTTATAGGAAATGGAGGAACAGTTCGAGAAGGAACGTAGCTCTCTAGAGGAACAGAAGAGCCTTTTACGAGAGGAACTGGACAGTCTTCGAGAGGAGCTCACAGCCAAACTCAACATGGCCAACAGTGAGGTATGACATTTGTTGTCTCTGTGAAAGTGATTTAGCAGGTAGAAAGGAAGGCATGGAAGCAGAGGGAGGAGGTGATTCATTTCAGTGTCAGGTGTTCATCATCTCATTAGTCTCAATGTGTTTTAATGGGCTTCCGGAACACAAATCTGGCTGAGTCCCATGTTCCTTAGCCACAGCTGCAAATGGGCCAAGGAGACCCCTGAAGAGAAGCAGCATCACTGATTATTACCTTAATGTGCACATCACAATTGCTTAGCATAAATGGAAACGAAGCTCTTGCCGGAAAATCCATCTTAAGATGGTATCTGTGTTCTGTAATATGGTCGCTGTGGTTTCTAGCTGGTCAAAACTGGTCATTAGCTGACTGATCTTCAAACATCTTCCAAAAAACAGTCTGACCACTTTAATCTGGTATGACCAGCTGGTACTGTCGCTGGTTTGTTTCTGGTCAAAGATGATGACCAGCTTGGACCATCTAGAAACCAACTATATACCTAGGCTACATGTTTAGCCATGCATGCTCCCCACTTGAAGGCTGTTCCGAAGGCTGTTCCAAAATAGCTGAGTCTCATTAAAAAGTCATATATCATTATATTTGCAGCATGTATTAACATTCTCTATTAGAATGAACTTTGAGCATTTGAGAAGCTGAATGAGCATGAATAGCATCTCAAATCTCAGTCACATTTTAGTTAGGATGCTGTCTTTAGAAGATGTCCTGCTAATATGCTAGTCTTCGCTAGTTTCCCAGCTGGCCTAGGCTAGTCTTAGGCTGTTTTAGCTTGGTGATCAGCTAAAAAGTACCCAAAAAGCTTCTAAAACCAGCCAACAGTCCCACTAAGACTTGTAAAATAGTAGGTTTAAGGTTTTTTGGGGTTTTTTTCAGCAGAGTAGCTGCTTGCGTTGCTCACTAGGGTGTTTTTGCAGTTATTTTTTTATTTATTTATTTATTTGTAATAATTTAGTTGTATGGGGTTAATAATTTGTACAAGGTCTAACAAAAATTATTTCATAATTTTATTCTAAATATTTGTTATACTTTTTAAAATAAATAATACTACAGTCATTTATGTTATGTTGTTACGTTACGTTACGTTACGTTTTACGTTACGTTGCGTTGCGTTATGTTTTTTATCACTGGAAGAGAGCTATAGAGATTGAGTAGATTTATTATTTGTGGAACCTGTGTGACAAGGTATTTGTTAGTAATTAATTAGTTAGTATAGTAATTTATAGTTGTGTTCTTGTTACTTGTAGGTTTAATTACAAATAATTCAAAAATATTTATATATATATACAGTATATACATACAGTATATATACAAGAATATATATGTATATGCAAGAAGTTCATTCTTACAGTGTCCTTTAACTCAACATAGAGAAAAAGCATCTGCTCAAAAGTGAGTAACTTCTGCTGTTCTTCAGGTGAGTCGACTCCAGGAGCTGATGAAGCAGGGAGAGCAGGGACTCAGTTCTGCTGAGGGACACATCTCCAATCTGAAGGATGCCCAGAAGAAGCTTCTAGAAGAGCTGGATGCCACGCGAGCCAGACTCAGAGAGACCAGCAATCTCTTAACAGCCCTTCAGGTCTGTTACCAAAAGCAAATACTCCAAAAAATAATGAGAATGAGACATACTTCAAAGTCACATAACAGCTGCTCCTGCCAGTTTTGCAGACATTTTTTTATTAAAGGGGTCCTATGACGTTGCTAAAAAGAACATTATGTTGTGTATTTGGTGTAATGCAATGTGTTTATGCGGTTTAAGGTTAAAAAACACATTATTTTCCATATAATGTACATTATTGTTGTACATTATTGCAGCGGCAACAACAATACTACAGCGAGAATAAAAGTTATGCCTTCTTTCTTTGCGTGAACATTTGGGCGGTGTTATGCAAATCTTCCCACATCGTGACGTAGACATGTGGGGGCGTGTTAGAACGAGCCGTTTTAGGTAGGTGTGGTTGACTCTTAACTTCTATAAAGAATATCTCTTTGGATTTGAGACTTTAGTCTTTGCAACTTTACAGATCTTCTTTATGCACCAAGAGCTTGTAACACTCCAAAGAGAAAGAAAAAATTTAAATCGCATCATATGACCCCTTTAAAGTCGATGTGTGTAATTTTTTTAAATATACAACTTTTGCCCTCAGTTTCCATATAGCTTCTAAAACACACCTGCAATGAGTTCATCATTATGAAACGAGTAATTGGTGCTCTGTTGAATTACACCCACCTGCGTTTTTGGCCCCTATCAAAGACACTTCATTAGAGAGGCCTCTTCACGGTTCCTCTTCCTGTGTCCTTGACCTGAAGCACAGGTTCTCTGAGTGACCGTGCATAATGAATCAGACCTGTATGAGTGTACCAGTGTGTGTGCGTAATAGAAGAAATGAGTGAGTGGAGAAATGAAAATTGATTTCCATCTCCTGGACCCAGTTAGATTGATAGCTGTGAAGAAGAGCCCTCTCTCTCGTCCTGAGTGCCACATGTTAGACCTCACAATTACGGGTCATGTGCTTAATGGCTCATCAGAGCTAATGTTCGCTCTCGTTCTTGTCCTCAGGGAGAGATGGAGACTCAGAAACAACAGCACGATGCCAAACTCATCACTACCAAAGAGGAAGAGAAGCTCAAAATGGATAAGATGGCCCTGGAGCTCGAGCTGAAGTGGACCGAGACGCTCAGGTAAAGAGCACATGTTTTTGTGTTACACGAGGGAGAGTTCTTGGAAATGTGCTTTCAGAAATATTTACTCACCCCCATGGTATATTAAGGGACATCATCAAAATGTGGTGACAAACCTGTCCCTTGAATTCTCAGTCATGAAAAAAAAAAACTAGTCAAGAAACTCCAAATAAAAGGCATTTTAGTTAACATAATAGTTTACTAAATATCCATCTATAATGGAGCCTATGAATGGATGACCAGATAAAATCACAGATTAAATTATGTTTTTTGTTTTTAATTAAAAACCCATTGTCTCCATCTGGAATACCACTTCTTTGGTTTTATTTATTTGTTTGTTTGTTTATTCCTCATCTTATTTGTTTCTCTTCTTGTATTTATTGATTCATTCTTTGATCTATTTATTTATTTATTTATTTGCTTATTTTTTAAATAATTATGTTTTAAACATCAGTGCAAGGTCCAACAATTGTGAAAAAAGTAAATTAAAAAAGAAATAAATTATTTAAATGATCTAATTCTTGTATTCTAAATAACTGTATAATTTATAAGGTGAAATAAAGAAATAATAATAATAATGTCAATCACAGATTAAATACGTTTTATTATTATTATTATTATTATTATTATTAAAAATGGTCTTTACCTTTGTTTCCTTCATCCTTCATCATCATTTATTTATTTATTTTCAATAATTGTGTTTTAAGCATTAATGCAAGGCCCAAAAATTGTGCAAAAAAGCAAATTATTATATTCTAAATAATTTCAACTTAAATTTGTAAGTTATAATTTAAAATAAAAAAATTCATTTGTTTATTTTTTTATTAGTTTATTATTTATAATTATTATTGTTTTTGTTTTATGGGCTAAGTATTAGTGAAATTTCCAACAATTGTGCAAAAAGCTAATAAAACATTATTATTAATGTAGCTACTTACTAACAATAATAATATTCATATATAATATTATTATTATTAACCATTTCTTTCTTTCTTTCTTTTTTTCATTTATTTGTCAGTGATGTTGTCAGTGTTAAAACATACAAGAAGTATTTCCAATGTCAAAGTTCAGAGTTAGAAGAGGGCTTTGCTGAATTCAAAACCTTGACATTATGTAAGTCATGAAATCAACATTCTTGAAGAATATGCTGGCCATACTTTTCCATGACATGAGGGAAAGTAAACAATGACAGATTTTTAATTTGTGGTGAACTGTCTATTTAAGTGGTTTGTTAACAAGCAAGGCACTTCTCGTTCTTTCACATTCTCTCCTTCTTTGCCAAGCTATGTGATGACTTATGTACCATTTAAAGTTCCCAACAGCTGTAAGTGTTTTGGCGTTGCCTCAAAAAGGCTTGCCTGCCTAATTCATTAGCAATGCTTACAACCAGTGTTTAATATCATGGGCCTTCAAATAAGACAATGGGTCATTAGTATAAGCCTGAGTTGTATTGGACTAAAACAAAGGCCATTAATGGGATAGTTCACCCAAAAATGAAAAATATGTCATCATTTAGTAACCCTTAAGTTGTTCCAAACCTGTGTGAATTTCTCTCTTCTGCTGAACACAGAAGAAGTTATTTTGAAGAATGTGGGTAGCCAAACAGTTTCTGATCCCCATTAACTTGCACAGTATTTTTTTCTCTATGGAAATCAATGGCTACCAGCAACTGTTTGGATACCCTAATTCTTCAAAATATCTTCTTTTATGTTCCGCAGAAGAAATAAACTCATACAGGCTTGGAACAACTTGAGGGTGAGTAAATGATGACAGAATTTTATTTTTGATCTATCACTTTAAGAACATTTTGGCTACTTTGTGTGCTCATAGTTTTGCAAAGTTACCAGTTCGCCACTAAAACATCCCCTGAAAACTCTAAAAAGGAGCTAACTAGGAAGGTTGAATATCAATAGATCAATAGATCAATAGGCCCTTAGCAGACGCTCAACATGCTTTTAATGCCAAATCAACAAGACATTTATTGGATTTCATCCTTGGTAGCTCATTTTCCACAACATTTGTTCTGGGTGGTGCCCTGGAGCATGCTATTTGGGCTTTAACTTATTATTTAGGAGAATGTGGACCAATGTAGAGCTTGTTATTGCTCAAAATAAGTGCTGGTAGTGATGTTGGATCTAGGTCGAGAGACTCGTATTTCAAGAGATGCCTCGTTTTGAAATATCTAGGCGTTTCCATGACCTCACACAATTAGTAAAGTCCACAATTAGTAAAGGTTCTCAACTAATATCATTTATAGTGCTGAGGAATTATTTAATGAAAGTTTAAAGAGGTCTAGTCCATGGAAAACAGGTTAAATGGCTTTACAATAGGAATTTTACTCTAGAAATTCCATGTGTGATTTTGTGATTTTTTTTTATTTTTATTTTTTATTTTTAGTACTTCAGCTTCAACATATTTTACTTCCGGTAGTTGCCAAGGCCAAGGCAGCATTTCTAATTTTTATTTGCATTTTCATCAATTTTGTTTACATTTTTCATCTATTTATATTCTATATATATTATTCCATCAATGAAAACTATTTTTAATTGTTTTAATTTTAATTGTAGTTATCAATAGCAACATTGTAATTAGGGGAAAAACTGGCTGTTAAGGGTTGAAAAAAGGTGAGAACTAAAAATATTTAAGAAAAAAAAAATGTTTTAGCCTGTAGGATAATATGAAGTTAGCCTGTAGACAAGGGTTTCCTCAAACTGATCCTTCAGGCATCATCAGAGGACAAATGTCTGTCAGACTTTGTGTTGCAAGTGTTACAAGAGGGTTTGTTCATCATTGTGCCAATCTGTCAGACACAGGCACTTGCATTTGCACAATTGCTCCGTCTTATTAAGCTATCACTGACTTCTTTATCTACACTTGAATTTGCGTTGTACAATTACACTCACAGCTGCAGCATACAATGAAGTTCATAAAAACTCCAGATGGATCTTCCCCTTCGAGGCAGCGCCGTCTGGATGTCGCTAGCATGCGTGTGCCGAGTGCAACAAATCAAAACTGTTTACGCCAGTTTTGTTTGCTGGACTGACAGCTTTGCACTGAGATCATTTATGAAGACAAATGGACTCCCTGTAAGAGTTTATAAAGGTGATAAAGCCACAAACAGGAACTTCTGTTCAGCAGAAGTGCTGGTTAATTTAGCAGCTCCTCTTGTAATGCACACCATGAGTGGATGAGGCAGTTGCTAGTGTGTGTGTTTGTTTCTGACTTAGCTATAATGTTAGAGACAAAAAAACTCCATTAACAATTCCTAAGATGTCTGAAAAAATGTCTCTTTTCAGTTACTCTGAATTGTTTGGAAGAAAGAGGAGTAATGGGTTTGGAGTATGACCAGGCTAGATTTGAAGATGCAGCTCATGAAGCATGTCTAACCACTTGGCCATGACTCCAACCTTTTTGCCTTGTAATTTAGCTTTTACATTTTTTGTCTGTTTATTTGACATAGAATCCATACCTGGGGTGGCATATTTTGCCCCCTAAATTTTTCAAGGTGTTTACCAGAATATTGTGAATATATTATAAATGTAGGCAAGTGGCATGGAATAATCTTGGAAGTTATTGTCTTGTGCGATCTGAAAGTATTTTATATTTTTACATAATGAATGCTTTTTTGAACTCTTCAATATTATAATATATTACATTATATTACATATATTCCTGCACTGAAGTAGTGCAGGCAAAAATGTGACTTAAAATATTGAAACGTAAAAGAAATTATGCTTTTTCAAATGTATGCATTTTGCCTTTTAAATTCATATACATTTGTAATTTATATTTACATTGTTTATGCTGACTGCTATAATTCATCTATAACTATTTTATACTGAATTTCATTAAATATATATCACAATTATTATATTATATTATATTTCTCACACTGAAGGACCATTTAAAATTAGCTAGTGAAGGTAAAAATGTGATTAAAATTTGGTTAAATTTAAGAACAGTTCTTTTGCAATTATATAAATTTGTAAGTTATATTTACATTGTCAATGCTTACTGCATCTTCTCTCTCTACATATATATATATATATATATATTCAATAGTAATATTTTTATAGTATAGTATGTCTAGTATTAGTATAATATAATATTTATATAGTGAATAAATTAGTCATTAGTAAATAAATTAGTAAATAAATGCTGTTCTGCAGTGTATTATCAATTAGACATTTTTGCCACCATGAACGAACAGATAAATCAACATGTGTATTTAAAAAAAAAAAAGTAAAAAAAATCCAATTACAGCCTTAGTGCTTATTGCTGTGGTCTCAGGCGGCTTTCAAAGTGCTTCCATTTCCTCTTAAGCAGCAATTAAGACAAATTTCACACCTTTAAAAGGTTTCACAGGGTCTCCGAGTGTGTGAGGTACTCCACACTGACAGTTATTTGGGCATTTTCTGTAGCACAGACTTAATAGTCACAGATTTAAGCTCAGTGCTGCACTCTCATGACGTCCTGCAATTATACCACGTAATGTGGAAGTTAACCTCTTCTGTGACCTCCACCGCTGTGCAGCAGAGAAATGTAGGTGCATTAAAAGATCTGTGGAGCATGTGAAGGGGGCCCGGCTCATTTAGCAGCCATTAATGATCAATGGACCACTGACCCAGGATTTTTGTATTTTTATATTTAGATGTGTGCAACAGCAGAAACCAATTGTGTCTTGTTTTTGTCAGATTTGTGTCAAAAGGTCTCGGCAAAAAAACTGCACAAAACAGTATGATCATTAGTGTGTGTTTTTTGTTTTTTGTTTTTTTTTGTCCACAGGCAAGAGTGTAAGAAACTGCGTGAGGAGCTACGTGAAGAGCATGAGGAGAATAAAAGGTCAGCACTCACTCAGCTGGCACAGAATAAAGATCAGGAGATGTGCTCCGCCAGAGAGAGCTGGCAGAGGAAGGTGGAGGACCTTCTGGAGCAGGTCAGAAACACATTCATGCAACTACTGTACTAACACTGCAAACAGTTCTCATGTTGAGACCACTGCAGTCAGCCTATGAGGGTCCAGTGGGGCTGTTCAAGAAATGTATAAATCAACTGAGAAATTGATAAATTAATTGAGCAACTAGTTATTTAATGTGAATAAATACATCTCTACAAAAACACAAAACAAAAAGGTCAAGATAAAGTCAAAAATAATTTTCAGTTTAGAACTAATGACAGAATTGAATTTGTATGTTTAAAGTGTGATTATGGAGTGCTTAATAATTGCATTTTCAGTTTTAGTACTTTTTTTATTTCCTATGGCTTTTTTTATTCATTAAAACCAGAGGCAACACTCTACTGCCAATATGAATTAACATATTTATCAATATTTTGATTACATTTTGTTTTATTATTTAATTATGTTGTCATTTGTTAATTTATCATCATGATTAAATTGTCATTGTTCATTCATTTTATATGTGCATCCACATTTATGCATTTCCTTGTTGATTTTTCTCAAATGGTTTATGATTATTGCATATTGAGTATTGCGTACTTCTACAAAGTACAGAAAATAAATACACTACTGTAACACAGATCGTAGTCACGGGAAGAAGGAAGCGGGAACCGGCGAACGTTCAAAGAAAACTTTAATAATAAAATAAACACAAAATAGCACAAACAGAACCAAAACACAAAATAAAGTCCAGGCCTGGTCCTCTCTCGTCTTTCACTGTCGTAGCTCCTCCTTTTATCCTTCCGGAGCTCCTCCGTGGGACTCGAGACCGGTGAGTGGTGCAGGTGTCGCTCATTATCAATTACTCCACCGGCCTCGCTCTGTTCCCACGGCTCTCGGCAGCACAACTGTTTTCAATACTGATAATAATAAGATATTATTTTCACCACATCGGACACCCCAATAGCATATTAGAATGATTTGTGAAGGATTTTGTGACACTGGAGACTGGAGTAATGACTGCTGAAATTCAGCTTTGCATCACATAAATAAATGGCAAAATTACATTTTAAAATATTTTAAAATAGAAAAGAGTTATTTTAAATTGTAATATTATTTCACAAAATTACTGTAAATATTACTGTTTTTAAACATGTATTTTCAATCAAATAAATGCAGCCTTAGTGAACACAAGAGACGTCAAAAACATTACAAAAATCTTACCAACCCCAAACTTTTGAACAGTTGTGTACTTCTAAGCAAGCCTCCATTTGGTTGTGCGTCCTGTCCTGACCAACACAGCAACACTGGCTTAACCAATGATTTAAATCTGTGGTGGCGCTATGTGTTAATGTGATCAATGGCAGATGGAGGGAGGGTTCAGAAAACCTCACATTGTTTTTTGCATTTCTGTTTGTTGAAGCCTGTGGAAGAGAAATTGCACAGTTAACCATACACTGTAAAAGATGATTGTGATTTTAACAGTAAAAGACTGTAAAAATGCTACAGTAAAAACCTGTTAACTGGTTAACAGTAAGTTTCCATACTATATTAGGTGAATACATGTAATTACATTTAATGTAATTTTACAGTAAAATACTGTTAAAAATACGGTTTTTGGAAGTGAAAAAGAAAAAGTAATTGTATAATTTACAGTGAAAATTACCGTAAAACCGTAAATTGACATTCCCAGAATTCCCTGCATGACACTTCATATTTGATGTTTTTTTGTTGAAATAACATGTTTCTACTTTTTGTTGTGTTTCTTATCAGTTGTGTACATTAGGGTTTAATCTTACATCTAATGTTGTCAAATGAATGTTTATTGCATTATTTCAGTATCGTGTGTGTCACCATGATGGGGTTTAGTGTTTGTGTGAATGACACTGTGCACCTTCTATATATAAATATTGCCCTCTTCAGCTCCTAGAAAAGCTGTTTGTGATGAGCTTTGGTTCATCGGGAACCGGCGAACGTTCAAAGAAAACTTTAATAATAAAATAAACACAAAATAGCACAAACAGAACCAAAACACAAAATAAAGTCCAGGCCTGGTCCTCTCCCGTCTTTCACTGTCGTAGCTCCTCCTTTTATCCTTCCGGAGCTCCTCCGTGGGACTCGAGACCGGTGAGTGGTGCAGGTGTCGCTCATTATCAATTACTCCACCGGCCTCGCTCTGTTCCCACGGCTCTCGGCAGCACAACTGTTTTCAATACTGATAATAATAAGATATTATTTTCACCACATCGGACACCCCAATAGCATATTAGAATGATTTGTGAAGGATTTTGTGACACTGGAGACTGGAGTAATGACTGCTGAAATTCAGCTTTGCATCACATAAATAAATGGCAAAATTACATTTTAAAATATTTTAAAATAGAAAAGAGTTATTTTAAATTGTAATATTATTTCACAAAATTACTGTAAATATTACTGTTTTTAAACATGTATTTTCAATCAAATAAATGCAGCCTTAGTGAACACAAGAGACGTCAAAAACATTACAAAAATCTTACCAACCCCAAACTTTTGAACAGTTGTGTACTTCTAAGCAAGCCTCCATTTGGTTGTGCGTCCTGTCCTGACCAACACAGCAACACTGGCTTAACCAATGATTTAAATCTGTGGCGGCGCTATGTGTTAATGTGATCAATGGCAGATGGAGGGAGGGTTCAGAAAACCTCACATTGTTTTTTGCATTTCTGTTTGTTGAAGCCTGTGGAAGAGAAATTGCACAGTTAACCATACACTGTAAAAGATGATTGTGATTTTAACAGTAAAAGACTGTAAAAATGCTACAGTAAAAACCTGTTAACTGGTTAACAGTAAGTTTCCATACTATATTAGGTGAATACATGTAATTACATTTAATGTAATTTTACAGTAAAATACTGTTAAAAATACGGTTTTTGGAAGTGAAAAAGAAAAAGTAATTGTATAATTTACAGTGAAAATTACCGTAAAACCGTAAATTGACATTCCCAGAATTCCCTGCATGACACTTCATATTTGATGTTTTTTTGTTGAAATAACGTTTTTCTACTTTTTGTTGTGTTTCTTATCAGTTGTGTACATTAGGGTTTAATCTTACATCTAATGTTATTAAATTAATGTTTATTGCATTATTTCAGTATCATGTGTGTCACCATGATGGGGTTTAGTGTTTGTGTGAATGACACTGTGCACCTTCTATATATAAATATTGCCCTCTTCAGCTCCTAGAAAAGCTGTTTGTGATGAGCTTTGGTTCAT